CCAATTGGTCCAGTGGTGAGAATCTTTGTCTTCTTGACATTTAGCCTCGGTCCATACTGAAGGCTGCAGTCCTTGACCCTCTGCAGCAAATGCATGAGGTCCTCCTCAGTTTTGGCAAGCAGGGTTGTGTCATCTGCATAACGCAGATTGTACATAGATCTTCCACCAATCCTGACACCACACTTCTCATAGGAGCTTATATAGCTCCAAAAAACAAAGGTGGCCTGGTTCCAGGGCTCCAGAACTTCAAGGTCATTGAGTAGATATTGCATGAATGACCTGACAAGTAGAAGTGAACCAGCCTTGAATACTATCAGATTCATACTTGCCTTTGCAAAGGCCTGTTCCCCTACTGTTCACTCCAGGCCAGCTCTCCCAACCTGGGGTACTCTACTCTTCCACAAGGTCTCCAAGAGCCCAAAGGGGAGCTAGTTAGGGACACAATTGTTGTTGCAGCTGAAGTCATATCCCTAAAATTCTCATTGAGTCAGAACCAGCTCATAAGCTGACCCTACAGCACATTTTCGGAGGGTGTAAATAGCAAGGGAGAAAATTATCCATCTTTCTCCTTCTGCAAGGCTGGTGGATTCAAACTGTCTACCTTTGATTTGGCAGCACCACACCCTACCCCTAAGCCACCAGGACTCCTTGGAACCATAATTTCAAATATAATAAAAATAAATCTATGCCCAGAAATAAACCAACTCAGCAAGAACTCTCCAATTAGAGAGGAAAAGAAAACACACCTGTGCTGTACTGCAGAGCAATCCTCAATTGTGTCCGCGGCCACAGTTTGCTTCTTCAGGGGATCTCATGAGTCTGATAAACAGACACAGCAAGCAGCCTTTATTACAGCACGCTTGGACCTTTGGTCAGAACAGCCAGAACGCTGGTTCTAGAGGACCCTTTCTTTATCCGGGTAGGTTTGGCATTTTAAAAAAATGTTTTAATTTTATTATTTTGTGTGTGTGTGTACCATCAAATCGGATCTGACTGATACAGGAGAAGATTGCCCTTCCTTCTCCAGCAAAGCATCTAGTGGATTCGAACCGCGTACCTCTGGGGTTAGTTACAGTGC